AAGCATTGAAGTTAGGTGGGAACAACTCCGAGGTGATGAAGTCGGTGAAGGCCTCCATTCGGGTAGATAAAAGGTTCTAACTAGTAGAGGCATCACCTTAGCCCCCCTTCACCTGTCGGATGGCTCCTTTCAATGCCTGAAGGTTGCCAAAGCGTTGATCAATCGGGGCCTCGACCTCATCTACGTTCTTTTTCACGTGGGGCGGGTTGGCCCTGTTCCTAGAGTGCTCAGGTGCTGGTACATCTTGAGCCTTGCTAGCTTGGTGATCGTTGAGGAGATTGCAAAGGTCAAACACTGGTGGGGGAGAGGCATAGTGTTGGCCTCCAGCCCTTGAAGGAGGACTATAGTGACCAGAGCACCCGTCATTGTTGAAGGGATGGGAGATCCATCATATGGATGGCCGAACCATGCAGGGTTGCTGGGCAAAATTTCAAAAATTTCTTTCTCCCATCGAAGAATCCTATTCCCGAATTTAGAAAACTGCATTTTCAAGGTTCGTTCTTGAAACAAACCGAACCAAATCTGAAACCAAAAGGAAGTACGTAGGAGGGTACTTGATACGGAATAACAATAACTCCCAACGTAGGTGTTCATGCCCAAAGAGGTGACCATAACCCACCTCCACTGAAGATGACACAGTGTATGATGAGCCAGGATAAGCAAAGTGGTTCTTTAGTAAGAACCCTAATTCTTCAGCAAAAATCACGCAAGGGGCTGGTGAGCACGACTTTAGATTGTTTATTCTAGAAAGAAACAATATCAAGAACTATTCTTGATTAAATCCAAAAATGGAAATCGAACTAGGTAGGGGCAGCAAGAACTGGAGGAGAATTTTGTAGATTGTTGAGTGTGTTTAAACTAATGAATTCGCCCCCTATTTATAGCCTTCTTTGTATCAACTTCCTAATCCAATTAGGAAAGAGTTTCTTGATTCAAAATCTGATATTTGGATCTCAACTCTTAAATGGATAAAACTTATCTTATCTCTTAGCTAATCCTTATTAGATTATAAATCAAAATTCACCTCCTTTTAATTAAGTGACTTAAGCACAATACGAAATGGGCTTTAGTCCCATTTACTCACATAACTCACTTTCCCTTTAAATGTTGGCTAGCTTGGCTCTCATTGTATGGCATGGGACCCTAGCATTGATCTACACACCAGCCACATGGGTTCAACCCAGCCACTATTACAAGGCCTAGCCGAATTCACTGCAAAACACAGTGAACCCCTGAGTCCATCAGTATGGGCTCTTAATGGGCCTGGCATTTACACTAAATGGTCATTGGGTCTAGCCACCTTATGAAGGCCCAAGGACTGTGGGCAGATGCAAGATTAGCCCATCAGGTATTCCCCTCAATTGTCTTACACGTAACCTCTCAGCCCTTAATGATCATACACTGTCTGACAAGGGAGGACCTCTCCCTCAGCTGCAAGGTACAGTGTTGTACTCTCTACACAGATGGATCCCGGGAATTAAAACATTTTGCAAACATTTTGTGAAACCATAATATATAAGTATATTTCTATATAAATATATTTTGTAAAACCTATTTCAACAGGTTTGAAATCAACTGTCGGCAATTTAGGTTTCCATCAGAGAGAGTGCATTCTCCAATCATTCACTTTGTCCGACAAACGGGCTGATCATGTCACTATGATCACCCACTCAAGTGAATTCTCAGACTGTCCCAACATACCCAGGTTTTGACCCCCTCTAAGGATCTCACTGGTTGGCATATCAAAGATAGCCCAATCTGACACCTAGTGCAGTACCATAAACGAGTCTAGGGGTCAGGCATTACATTCCAATTTTTCCCATCTATCTCCAAGGTCCAGGGAAACCCTGAAATTTGGTCCAGCTCAGGGTTTCAAGAAAACCCACACTGCATGTACCTCAAGTCTCACTCTGAGAGCTGAGACAATCCACCCCAACCCACTTGGCGGCACATAAGTGTCAACCTTGGCAGGATAAATCTCCCTAGATCAATCCAACGGCTGTGAAGATTCTAAATAAGCACGAGTCTCATAAGGGTGTAGTTTAAGGGTATTACACAAAAACACACCAAAATAACATGGATCAATTATGCACTTTATTCATTTATAATACATGACAATAAGTACATCAATTTGATTAGAGCTAAGGGCACACACTGTCTAACAGTCGTCCTAGTTGCTTTTCGCATGGCGAAGACAGCGATCGTGGTCCCTATGGTTGTCGTGGGACCCCACAGGTTCGCCTCTCCAGCTGGGGTGCCAAGAGGTCTTTGACGGGAGCTTGCTAACCTATCGGATGCATGGGTGGATCGTCACTGTATTGCCCCTACCTCATCCAACCACTGGGGTAGGTTGTCCAGCCTGTCTGAGCGTTAGGAGTGTTGTCTTGCTTTTCAACCATATCAGGAACTTGATAGATTAAGTTATGTTGTTTTTAGAGGGAATTCTTGAAAACGTTCCCACAAACGACGCCAATTGTTGCCACCAAATATGAGGTCAAGGGCAACAAGGTAATCTCACTAGTGTTTGAGGTCGATAGGTCCAATATATACACAAGAGAAGAGCACATGGGCCTCGAGTGTTATTCCAGGGGCGGAGACTCCAATCGTCAAGTTAGCTGAGTGTTTAAATAGGGGTTGGATTGGGCAAGAGTTGAGAGCTCAGAACTTAGTCCATAATAGCCAAGAATGGTTCTCTTTGGATTTTGGATGCTTAACTAGAGGTGAATGCCCCTTTTATAGATAACCTTGCCTTACGACTGATTGGAAGTAGTTGGTGATGTGCGGCCAGGATTTAATCTAGCCGATGCCACATGGTGCGATTTGAGGCCCGTGAAGTATCGCTCTATCAATGACTATGGAAACCTTCAACCATTGAGGAGATCACAAGCACAGCTGCAAATATATCGAACAGGATATAAGGCAGATTCAATTGTATTCGGATTTGGATCGAATTTTATCCATCATATATTTATATTAGTTTCGGATTGAATTGGGATTGCAATCGGATATTGAATAGCATAAATAAACTGAACGAAAAATGATCAAGATATTATATATTATTAACAAAATGAACTTGATATTATATATCATGAATAATAGATATTGAAAATAAAATTTAAAGTTTTTAGAGTGAATTTTTAATAGAATTTGTGGTTGTGGAAAACAAAGGACTCACTCACCTACAAAATACCTTTAAAGGGAATCTTCTTTTACAATTAATCGGATATCTCTTGCCTAATTAATCTAATTACCTTTAATTTAGTAGTTTTGAGAATAGTTTTGACTAGGAAGGTTAGCCGCATTCTGGTTTTTTGAGAATATAGTTTTGCCCTTTTAATTTAGTAGTATTGTTTTATATTCTTCTCTTATTTCTATCTTTAAAGTAAAATAGTGCATTGAATATCATCTTATCTATTATAGTAATACAATAATGGATTTTCCTGGAAAATTTGTGACAATGATTTGGGCTGAATGTAAATAGGATATTACATTTTTACCCTTTAATTCGTTTGAATTTCAATGCGAAGAGTGGGAAAACAAGGTTTTTGCAGTAAAAGGGGAACATGCTCTCTTGAACTAATGAAATTTGCTTGCAAGGGCTGGAAGAGGTGATCTATAATTACCTACCCTACCCTCCTTAGCATCCAATTCGGCTTGACTTATAGTTGATACAATAAATATTCCAACAGTCTTAAAGCTTTTGATGTATTAGTCAAAGTGTGTAATAATTGTATCAGATGTATCCTACCCCACCTCCTAGGTTTAGGATTAGGTCTAAATTATAGAATTGGGCAACCTAGAACAAAGTGGGAATCACTAGAGAAAGCTAACATCACTCAAGCATGGTGATACACGACTACAAATTTGAAGGTTGAATGACTTGACTTTTGAAGTATTACACCAGTTTCAAGGCTTTTAGGTTTAGATAGGAATTCGCCGGAAGGATGATGTTTCCTACAAAAGAACCAATGTAAAATCAGTCGAATCAGGTAGGCACACTGCATGAATTTTTTAACACCTGTCCCGCCTTACGCCTACCCTTGAAAAAATATTAAAAGCAAATTTAAAACTTTATATTTTATATGTCAACGGATAATTTTCTATTAATATTATATCATACAGTATTTTTGACTTAGAATATTGGATCTATCTTTTCAACTCAGATAATTTACCCAGAAATATAAATATATAAATATATACCGAATAATGATTTTTCTTGCTGCTTAGCAAGTTAGCAAGTTGGTAATGTATATGGGTCCAGTGGTCAAAGAAGCTGAACCCAATGCAAGTTCGCTCCTCTCCCTGCCCAGCCCAAGAACAAAACTCCTGTTCTTGGGGCTGCCGCCCAACTGAGTTGCCCGCCCCCACCCATCTTTGTAAAATGAAAACACATCAGTCATCAGGCGAAGACCTTTCATTCAAAGTTGCTCAAACCCATAAGACTTGTGTTTAATTAATGCTATCTCGATTATTTGCCTCTTTTATTGAAGAAAAATCGTACGCCTCCATCTGGGAAGTGGGGATCGATCCGGGTCATTAGCTTGTCAGACGGCCCGGAGGTTTGTTATCTGGGATCCATCGTCTCTGCTATGGCCTGTAATCCGTAAGTTTGTTGTAGTTCTGTGCTGCCGGTAATTAATGCCTGTCAGGGCTCCACCGACCAACCTACCATAAATAAATGGAATAAATATATAGAACAGACAAGCTCGAATCCGCTGCCCATTCACCATAACCATGTTTGGAGTACCTGACAAATTGACAACTATGAAGAAAGAAAGGAAGGGGCGAAGCGAATGTTTCACGACCGGAACGGCCGATGCTTTTTATGCTTTGATACATGCTTTCCAGCCAAAGACTGAAGAATATACTGCACGTGTGTGCTGAAAACAATGCATTTAATGCACCCAGCGCAGATGATGTTAATCTGATTTCTCTGCCAGTTATGAGTTATGCCAATTTCACGTTTTCCTAACCGAACAAAAAAAAGAGAGAGAGAGAGAGAAAAGAAATTAAGAAGAAAATATTCATAAACATGCATTGCATCCAAGACGACAGTCCATTATGCTTACAGCCAGGTTATTTGATATTACAAATCCTGCCATGAAAATGAAAGGTCGAAGGGCGCTTTCTCAAAAAACCTAAACAGAGTAGCCAAAGTAAAGCATAACAATACAAATAAGAGGAAAAAAAAGGAAATTAAACTAGTCAATTTTTCCAAAAGCTGTTTCAGTTGGTGGTCGAGACATTCAGAATTTTAATTTATTCGGTTCGCTACATCGCCTCAAGTCCCATCACCGTCGTCGTTCTGGGGTCCAATGTGGGCGGGCTGGGCTAAAATGCACAGACACCACTCTGGAGTCAAGGAGCTCCATGATGGGTGTGAAGTTCACACACCTTGGCACCTTGTATTGGTTGATGGAAGCACCCCTCGAGATTGCGTAATCCATTAGTGCTTCGAACGTACCGCTTTTCACCACCCTTATCTCCAAGGGACCAATCGAGTTGTCCGCCACCCTACCTTGTCTGTAGACCGAGTTCAGTGATTCTTCCATGGCTAGACAACAATTGTTCAGCACTTGTTCGGTAGGCCAATTGCTCGGGTCCTTCACCAGTAACTCCCAATAGATCACGTAATGCCCCGGGATACTCTTGCTGTCGGCGAAGCTTGTGTACTCAACCACGCTAGTGTTGAACTCGCGTAAGAGCATCGACGCGTTCTCCACCGCGTTCTGCAACTCGGCTTCGTCTGTCTTGTCGGAATCGATACTCAGCAGCACGTTCTTTCTCCTCACGAAGTGGAACTGTGGCGCCGAGTTGTGGAACCCAGAGACCCGGAGTATGTCTCCGACTCGGTATCGGTACAGCCCCGCGTAGGTAGTGACCACCAGTTCGTACTCTTTCCCCAACTCTACATCCACAAGGTCCACAAGACGGGGAGGAGGGGAGTCACGAGTCAGGGAAGCCGAGGATGGTTCGTGGGGGATGAACTCAAAGTAGGCCATACTTGGCATGATGGTATAGGACACCTCCGAGGGCTTGCACATTGGTTTGAGGTTAAGGCCGAAGTAGCACTCGGAGGAGGCGTACATAGTGCATACCATGGGCAGGCCACCACTGTAGTATTCAAGGGTGGGAATGTATTGGGCCATGGCACCCGTGACGATCACGTCTAGGTACTTGGTGTTCGGCCAAATTCTGCTGATGATTCCTTCCCACTTCTCTTGCGAGCACTCTCTGGTAATGAATTCAGCGAGTTCTGGGTTGGGCTTAAGGAGAGGCACCATGCATTTTTGGATTGAAGGGTCGGTAATCTTGGGACTCAGGGTCCCGGTAGCGATATCGTTCACCAGTTCTCTCCAATTGAGTTGAAGGAAGCGGATGGCTCTGAGTAGGCCGGATGCGAAGACGGCACCGACTCGGAGGACTTCCTCTCGCTGGTAGAGGCCACAAAGCATCTGGGTGTACATGCTTTGGAAGGAATCAGGACAGAGGATTGCCTCGTTGGGGCTGGTGTAGACATTGTAAGGGTCGTAGGGCCTGGTCTTGAAGTGGTCGCTCTTGTAGTAGCTGGTGAGAACCGGGCGGGCCAACAGACCACCTGGCGTCTTTGTCTCGGATTTCACGAAATAAAAGTAGAGTGCCTTCCCCTTGTCCAGTCCCGGTACGTAACTGCCACAATACAAGACAAAAAACCCATCAGATCAGATAATTCATAAATCATAATAAATGTTTCTTTCCTTTAACCTTAAAATAAGCCCAATTTTAGGGTTGAAGGAATGAAAGGGGGGGTGTTTAAACGTGAATTTAAAATAATGTGCAGCAAAGCTCGGTTTACGTTCATCTTGGCAATGATAAAAGCCAGAAAAGGAAAGAAAGATAATGACACAATAGTACTACTTACAGGTTCATCACAGGCGTGAGAAGACTGTAGAGGACCTGGCGACGGTCCAACTCTTCCTGAATGGTGGGCATGAGTTTTCTTTCGCCAGCCGAAGTTCCAGAACTGGAGAACGATAAGTCGACGTTACAAGCAAATTCTAGATTCCAGAGGAACTTTTCCTCCGAATAAATAATGATTAACAGACTAAGAGGAAGACATACAAATAAAAAAAAGAGTATCTCACCTCGTGAGGAACTCAGAGATAGGGTGTGCCGATAATATGGCGGAACGATCGCCATTAGCGATGCGTTGGATTTCAGGTTGAAGATCCTCATAAGTGACCACGGGGACCTTCGACTTGAAGGTGTCACGATCGGTCGACCCACCCAGCTGGTATCGCCTAAGATACTCGGTTTCCGCATTTTGAGCGAGAATCTCGGCCAACACTTTCTGTTGAACCGAGTCTGCATTTTTAGTCATGTCTAAGATGAACTGAAGCGCTTTTGCGTGTTTCTCATCAATAGCAGAGTCGTGATGATACGAAATTGAAGAATCAGTAGACATTTCTGAAGAGAAAGAGCGACGGAGTGAGTTGGCAGTTGCGGCCTTGCGGGAGAGGAAACTGAAGAGAGACAGAGAGAATTAAGCGAGGGGGAACAGAGAGAGATGGATAATTGGTTTAGGTTGGAGGTCTGGGAGTGTGAAGAAGTGTGTCTGGTGGCTAATAGGGTGGGGTATTTATAGGCGAGTGGAGGTTAAGGCTTTCTCCTCCTCCTTGACGACACGTCACATAACACGTCAGGGTGGGCCCCGCAGGCGGTAGGACAAAAGGATGCTCGGACCAGCCATGCTGGTCGTCGACAAGAAAATATATTTGACGCCGGACGCATTGGGAGAGGAGGGGACAAGGGAGGGCCCACACCAGGTAATGTTGTCGAGCTGAGACCGACAAATTGGGCCACCTATGGCCAAGTCAGCAAATTCCAGGTTGGCAGATTGTCAGGGTATACGCGTCAGCTAAGCCACGCGGCTCCTTTGTGCTCAGGTTGTTCGCCCTCGACAACGATAGGCTGCGGCGTACTCGGCAGTTTCCACTGTTGCTGACGTTGTAAATGAGACAGATGCCTAAACCAGTAACGGATGGTGGACGAGGACGATGCCAATGCCATAACTCCCCAAACCAAACGTCTTCAAATATCTCACTTCTCGAATCGGAACGACTTGGGGAAGTTGGGAGATTTGGCCAATATCTATCTATCTCAATCTGAGACGTTAATGCTTACTAATGTGGGACCATCAACACAAAGATTCTTTCACGTGGCAGAAAATGGGTTCGTACGTTAAAGTTTACTGTACGTATGTGGGAATCAACCCAAGATTCTTCCACGTGGCAGAAATAAAGGCAAGCTCCCCAGTGATGATTCTTTTTCCTACGTATAATATATGTACACGAAAAAAACAGAGACCACCTATCTTTCTTTGTTTCCAGTTCCACCCGAAAAGATAAAATAGTAAGTGGGCCAATCACGTGCCGTCTTCAATCTTGTTTTTAGTTTGTCATTAATTTTCAAAGAGAAAGAAAATTAGAAGATTTAAAAGCAAAGAGTTCTTTTCTTTATGTACTTGCTATCTATAATCCAATTCCGTCCTTGTCTTCGTTTTGTCCAGAGTGATAAAATTGTTACAGAAGAACCTAGTGATTCATTGAATGTATTATCAAGGGAACTACAGAAGAGAGCACAGAAACAAAACATTCTCCCTTCCCCTACAAGAGCTCAACATGGAATTGCATGCAATGCCTCAGGAACCAATCATTATAGGAGATTCCCAACAATTAACAAGGATTATTGCAAGGGTTTGCCAAACATAAATCACCAGATTGGATTGATTATTAGCCGTCCAAATATGCTTACTGGGGCCCCTTCAGATGATGGGTGGTATTGCCAGGTGTCCAGAAAAATGGAGTAACCCAATAATTCTAATTTCTAAACTAGGTGTGATCATTAGTCAGTAACTGCTTGTTTCATCATTCTTTCATCCAACTAATAAAGTATGACAAACGTTACAATAATCTAATCAAGCCAGCTCTTTCAATTTACTTAACCATTTATTTACTAGCCAATTGCCTAAATTCTAGGTCTCCCACCTCCTTATTCTAGCTTATATTCCTTGCTTACCTTTCTGACCAAATAACCGTATGAAATTATGTTGATATTTTTATATATTAGTTGCAATGAAGGAGAGACATTATGCTTTATTACAACTATTAATGCTTAGCCCTTAGACGAAACCTGACAATATATGACCTATGTATTCATGCATATGTCGCTTCCTTTTAAAAATATCCATCACTATTAATCAGCTTCTTCCATCATTGAAAAACAAAACACTTAGTTAATTGTCAAGTTGAAACCTCAGATATTTACAGAATCTGATACTCCTCAAGAGCAAACTACTTTATCCTACACACACATATATAGTGTATTTGGATTCTGCATATAGTTTCAAAAACCTCTAAAATGCCATACAATTGGAAATTTTAAGCAATTCAACTAATAAACCTTCATAAAATGCAGAGGTAAAACTCAGATATTCTTTTAAACATTTTATGCAAAATATACTTTATTTATATTTGGTTTGGATTTTTCAGCCAAAATATATTAAACACTAATTTTTTATTATAATAGTAGCCCTTTTCGTAACATTATTTCAAATTTTTTGGTTGATTTTTTTTTAATTCTGTACATGCATTAAGTACTTGCTTCATATATAACAAGGGTAATTCAAAAACATAAGATGGCACCACGAGAGAGAGAGAGAGAGAGAGAGAGATGGGTAGGATTGTTTTGAAAAAAAAAACACTCATGCACTCTTATTGCCCTTAGGAGCATGCTTCCACATTCAGTTCTTCAGTGCTTTTGAGCTTAGAAATTATTGAGTACTTATGCCTTATCAAATTAAGTTACCTAACGGAGAAAAGCAGTAAAAAGTACTGAAAATTATAAGGGAATGCCTGCTCATTTGTAGCACCATACACGTCAATGAGCAGCCCTTTGTGGTCCAAGATGGCTGCTTCTCTGACCTTCTGAGATGACACCACCTGGAAAAATAATCTTTCGATTAGCCCTCATCTACATTACTGGGCTCGTTCGTTCAAGGAGCAAAAATTTTTCTCAATATATAATATGAAGCAGTGAAGTTATCCAAGAAATCAATTCTGGTGATGTCGTGTACATACAATCCTCCAATCCATGATTTGTTGGTAAATGCATGAAAGTCATGAACAACGTTTGGTATCAACATTTGGAGGTATCCTCTAAAGATGCACAACCTGAGTAGTTCTAAAGTCTCAATAGGACACATATACTGAAATCAAGGTTGAAAAAAATTGCAACATTGAAAAAGAAAGCTAGTCTAATCATTCCTTTTTTACTAATGGCCACGGTTAGGTTTCCATAGAAATTACCTCTTTTTTTTTCAACATTGACTTGGCAACAACCATCCAAATTAAAGCAAGGAGGCTTCCCTTTTTCTTTATTTTTTTCTAATGCTCAAACATAGTAGCTAGGACATTGAACTTTCTCTCTAAGATATACATATATAGTTAACTAGTCACACACTTGTTTTAATTCAATTAGGCAATTAATCACTATTCAATCTTCCATAATAAATCCCTTCTGACTTGGGCTCTTCTGTTGAATTGTTGAAACGTAAGGCCATGTTACCTCTGATGATGTTTCACCAAATTGACTTAATCTATAGAGGAAAAGAAAAAAAAAAAGAGAGAGAGAGAGAGAGAGAGAGAAGGGTACAATTTATCAAAACCGTCTAGTCTGCATCATGGGCTTGGCATCTTGTTCTAGAACAATTTATATACATATATTTTAAATAAAACGAAGACTTTGTTAGAAAGAAGAAAACAAAACAGAGAACAATATAATGCTTGCTCATAAGATGCGTGTGTTGACACAAGACAGGTTATTTATGCGAGGGAGTTTGGGCATCCACAGGCTATGCATATAGACATGGAGACAGTAGACCATAGTCTTGTCTCTTGCATGTGGTACTAAAGCAAGGGAGCTCGGGCCCAGCATTCTACCCGCATGGCTGAGACCGAGATTGGGACTGAGGATATATTATATATTATAAATAAACTCTAAACATTCAAGCAATTAATGGATTCTTTCTCATTATGTACCGCTCACCGTTTTGTCAACCTAGCTAGCAAATGCCACATACCATCCTATATACCAGATGGTTTGGGGTTAACATCATCCATCCAATTGGGCTTGGACTTTGTCTAGCTAGCTCGCGTAACCCAACAATGAACATATATTGATATGTATACATCATGTATGTGTTATCAAGATGAGAATATATTGATGAAAGTGAAACCGATTAAAAAGCAATATTCAAATATTCAATACTTTTTGTAAAGTTGGAATGGGGATGGGGTACGTCGTCTAACATGACCCCATCACCTATCGTGACTTGTAACCCTCAACAAAAGGAAGAAGACCCCCGGCCAGTTTGTGTATAATTGGCGAACACTGTGGGTGTTGATACAATGGACTTAAAAAACAACTCGCAGCAAAAAATGCCAAATGGGTAGTAGTGCTGGTGCATCGATCGTGGCCCACCTTGTAGCTTCTTCAAGGGCAGAGTTTTCAGGGCTATCAGAATGGACTTATGCAATCTGGGCTTCCAGCCCTTGTTTTGAGATCACTGTCCTTCGGAAGCAAGTAAGAAAAAGTCGAATCTGGGTCGCGTAACCAAAAGTGCCCGACCCAGTATCAACTAGTTTAACTTTTAACCCCTCTCTCTAAGAATGGTGCATGGGCTGTCAGACCGGAGACAAAAGTGGAACAAAGAGAAGTGATGTGGCAGCCCTAATTGTCTGAAACAAAAATGGGAAGGGTGCATTGGTGTCATAACAATGAAACGAGGTGGGGTTGGTATACCCAACTCGGGCCGACCCAGATATAGATTGGCCATCCCAGACACCCAGAGAAAAAAACATGAGCTCATATGGGTTGTCAGGTCGGGTCAGTATTCAGTAATGACCGCCAGCGCCCCTACCATCTGCAAAACATGCACTGACCACATACCACCCACTAACCCTGCACTGACCCGCTTGTCTAGTTTGTATTCCAAACAATTGAACCCGAGAGACGAGAGAGAGAGAAAGAGTTAATAAAGACAGACTATTACTGCAACAGTACATAAAACGATAAAAAGAGGGAGGATGGGAAGTATGGTCCCCTTAGACATCCATTGTGTGGTGGGTCCAAAAGAAAGAGGTGTAAGTGATGGTGAAGGTGGTGGTAGTGGTGGTAAACGAGCGAAGAGGAAAGAAGAGAGAGAAAAAAAGAAGAGAGAAGATTCTATGACATGAATGGTCCCTCTCCTATTGCTACTTGGTGTTCACTCCCTCGTGAAACATTTCGCCCCAATCATGTTCAAAGCGTAATCAAGTCCTAAAAGTCGACGGTGTAACGGTTGCACGTGAACATTCAACGCCACGCATATCTGCTCGCACCATGGTTCATGGACATGGAGAGTCAAAGAGAGAGAGAGCCGTCCAACTACGCGTAGCAAAAATGGAGCACGACCACGACGATTGATATACTCATCTCAGCGCTTTCACCTCTGAGTGCGGTCAGCCAGCCAAGCCGACTTCCTAGCTGAATAATTTTAGCCCCCGCTG